GCTACTGACAGTTCAGTTTGGAGAGGCAGAGGAATTATTTTTTTTAATGATATTATAATAGGGGAGATTTACGGGAAAATGCTAATATGGGAGGACGGCGGGAAAGAGGGGTAAAATACGGTAGTTTCCCGGCCAAAACGGGAGACTTGACAGCTATGCTACACTAAATGTCACACTAGGAACACAGAGAAAGGACAGGAAGGCATGATCTGCACTGTTATAAGAGGTAAAGCAGGGAGAAGCAGCCTGGTGCCCCAAGAAGTGAAGCCTGGGAGAGCTGAAAGGGCACAGGGTCAGTGATCCTCCAGAGGCAGCTGGTAAGCTAATGAAAATGAAGACGGGCCCATCCAGGGAGTGCGCGTCACTCTACAGGCTTCGGGATTCCTGCCCGCCAAGTAGTACCATGATGGCCCCCGAGGCAGTGGTGTGATGCCTGCTGTGGAAGCTGGAAGAGAAGCATGTGCTGATCTACGAGCCCACCCCCCGAACAGATGGTCTGAACAGCAAAGCCCAACTTCATTTTCTATTTGCATAAACAGGAGAATGATGGCCTACAAGCTGATGTGTAACAGGCACCAGGCCACCAACAGGCCACACCCCCTAAAACAGCCCAGAATATAGCACCTCAAGCACAGAAAACCACGGCCACTCTGAATGAGCTGTTCTTATGCCTCTAATCAGCTGGGTGGGTGTCTGTTGTGGAGCTGAGGGGTTCAGTGTTGGGGGGCCTGTGAACATTATCAATTTCCCTGCCACTGTCACCATGGAAACCTCAGTGGCTGCCAAGTGCTTCTCTACCGCCACCGCCACCCGCCCCCCACACACACACTCACTCACTGTGATTGGGGGTGGGAGGGCTTCCTCATTCAGATCCAGTAATCCACACCTAAGGGGCACTGGGGGGTGAGCCACCATCATGGGGGGATAAATTGATGAGTGAACCTCATTACACCTACGCAAAAAATTACCTCAAGGGCAAACAATACCACTACGCATGTCACCCCCCTCACCCAGCTATGCCATGATCCATAGTCCACAGAGAGTCCTCTCTCTCGCCGCCTCCCAGTCACTGCTGCTGCAGGACTGGCCCAGTGGAGATGAGACATGTTGTCCCCCACCCCCCATCAGAGCATGAGGCGTCAGGTGAGTGTCGGGTGGGCTCAGGGGCCTTATCTGCCTCCTCAGGCCAATTTCCCATTGAATAATGGAAAAGTCCCACTCTGGAGAACAGTTATTATTCATATGGGGGGTCGGGAGGTGATGGGGAGAGCATGGGCATCGTACACCCAGACTTTGTCACTGAGCTATGACCATGCAGTGCGTATGCAAGCTCACATCAAGGCCAAGAGAAAATTGCTACCACGGGAAGGGAGGTGGGGGTGGATGGGCTGAAGTTATTACCTACCTGGATATTAATAAACATTGAATTTATGGCCTATAGCTGTTTAATATTCCCCATGCAGGTGAGTGTTTAATAACCACTGGGGCAGGAGGCTTCAAATCCACCCCCCCAACAGATGTAGACTCATAAACACCACTCACGTTCTCTCAATCTGTCCTCCCTCAGACGCATGCAGCCATTCACGCACGTCCCTGCTCCTGCCCCCACTACCCATCTAAGCCAGAACGTACCTCCTTGAAACATGGCGAGGGGCTCCTCATCTGCTCCAGCATGGCCCACTTGACGGTGGCCTGGCGGATGTTGCCATCGTACTCGCGGGAGCTCTGTGTGCCGCTGGGAGTGCCCCTCGACCGCTCATACCCGGGCTCATTGAAGTAGGGCTCTGCCACCAGGATCAGCGACTGTACGGACACCAGCACCTGGACACATGACCGGGGGGGGGGGGGGTCGACTTTCAGAGGACTGGCTGACAGATCGCGGGCTGTGAAGACAATACTCTGGGCGGGGAGGCTGGCTTCATGTCCACCGGCACAACACACTTTCACTGACTGGGGCATGAACACACATTTCTTTCAATATCATAAATTTAATTCATGGCAAATTATTTCTTATATATTTATTTTGGCATTACACTTAATTTTAATGTATATTGTAAATATGTAAGATTTATGTTAAATTTCTAATTTGACATCAAAGTATAGACATTGAAAATGCAGTTTGGAACACTTGCAGAAACATTATAAAAGTACTTAGTAAATGGCAGTTTGTTTTGATCCCAGATATCTGATCACCAAGGTATTGGGTATATGAAGATGACTAAATGGTGTAGTTTTTTTTCTTCTCAAAGCCTTGTTTTTGCTTGATGTCAAAGAAGTTTTGCTTGATAATATTGGCACAAATCTGATTCCACAGGAACACTAAACCCCTTACCTGCAAGAAGCTGGAGGTTTGGGGATTCCACTTCTCCTCGGGTCGCCCATGCCAGGTGTTGAGGATACTTAAACACACCTAGAGGGAGAGGGGGCCGGCGTGAGTATACCATTCATGACCCTGATGTGAGTGGGCCTTTCCACCACGGCCGTCTCCTCCAACTATGAAAATGAATGTTCCCTGACAGATTGTTACTAGTGGGAGAGAGACCTGCTCCCTCTGCTTATCTATGTACCAAAATAGGTGAGGTTTAAAGGGACCCTGCACTGCAAAGCATGTCTCCACCCACGGCACCACAGTAGCACAGTAACACCAACTCAGGAAAGAAGGTTGGACAGCAGCAATAGTCAGCATGATGAGGAGGTTCAGCAGTCAGAGAAGGTAGAGGTGACACTTGGCATGGCTGGTGCAACAGCCCCACTTACCTTGCCATCATTGTAGAGGTTCGGGTTGAAGCGCACGCTGTGGCCACCGGTGGTCTCCAGGTTGACGAGGGGAGGGGAATTGGGGTAGTCCTGCGGGAAGTACACATCGAACTCGAAGCAGCCGTTTGCATAAGGGGTGTCAGCCGGGCCTGTGATGAGGACCTGGGGGGGGGGAATTAGCGAACGTCAGCTAATCAGGTGATCCAACATATGCATGTCACAGCATATTTACATGGCCGTCCTCCATCAGGGGAGCTGAAAAGCCAGGGATCAAGGTGGCATTTACATGGCTCAGAAACAAGTCAACACACAGAAATCAGAGGTCCCACCCCTCAGGCTCTGCCCCCAACAAGCTGACACCGTGCCATTGCAAGCCGGAAGAGAGTATGAGCTGCTCGCCAAGACGCACCTTCATGATGTCCAGACGCTCCTCATCGCAGCGGACGAAGACAGAAGAGGAGGAGGACAGGGGCAGGGAGGTGGAGAGTGTGACGGCTTCCTGTGCCAGGCGGCGGGCGCGGGCCGCGCTGTTGGCATCACTGGCATTCTTCACCTGAGACATGTAGTGGTAGTTCACCTTGAACACCAGCTTGCCGTCCTCATCCTCAGACACCATCTCGAATGTGTCTGCAGGGGGGAGGGGGGTTAAGATGCATTCAAAGGGCTGTTTTCAGAGGTGCACGCTACAACCTCCCCCCTCCTGACCTAAGAGCCAATCTTCTCCACTCAGTTGAACCAAAGCAAACCTGTTTAGATTAAACTCAGCCCCAATTAGCCCCGGTGGCTCCTGGCTGTGTCATTGATCTTCTCCGTCGATGGGGCCCTGGCCACCGTGCCTCACCACATTCTAAGAAGGGCTGGTTGGGCATGCTGGCAACTCACCAAACTGCAGCTTCTTCATGGCTGCAACGTACTTGTCCTCCAGGGAACGTAGCATAGACAGCTGCTTGGGCCGGCCTGCAGCCTTCCTGGAAGACTCTGCCAACTTCCTCTCTGTGCAGGGAAAAAGGCACGAAAGATAAGCCAGGTCGAGGGGCATGGGGGGAATTCAACGTTCTTCATCGTGGAAATACTTCTGGCGGAGCTGCGGCACAACAATCAGGCGCCATATATCAGCAGCAACCACCGATGTGCACACGGCAAGTTAGCGAGATCAGCGCAGCTAATAAGACTGCTGGGGGGTGGGGGGCTATATACTCAATCACACCTTTAAAGGGTCGCTTATGAGCCCCTTCCCACTGACACTAAACACCTGGACTCGGAGAGCAGGGCTTGACCGCCCCACAGGAGACACAGCCAGGCGACCCAGCTAGGGGCCATGCTCTGCTTAGGCAGATTTGTGGATTTCCAGCTTGTCCCTATTAAACCAGTTAACATACTGTATGCTCTGCATTATGCCTATTTCATACATTATGGGAATGTATCATAAGGGTATGAGAAGCATCTAAAAGACTGGAAGGCACAGTGCCTGCTGAAGCCCCACCCTGGTTGGCCTGCCGCAGACTGGTAGTGGCTGCATGGACAATCTCCGCTGTCCTCTGGATGTCTGGGACCAGCAGCGTCAGGCCCTCCGGCTCCGGGTCCGAGGTGTCTGCCTTCACCACTCCTTTGCTCTTGTCCTTCTTTGACCTGGCAGGCGCCGAAAGCATATGGAGTTTGGTACACTGGTAGAGCACATTGACAAATGGCATGTAACACATGGAGACTCCTGTAAAGCTGCTGGAAGTACCCCAAAAACATCACTCTCTAATACTGGGCAGTGCTCTGGTCGCTAGTCCCTAATGAGTGGCATCAGATGAGGCCTGGCTGCCTGATGCAAACGTTCCTCTGAGCTAACAAGCTGCTACAGAGGACAGGATGGGGGACAGCGCAAGCCTGGACAGCTCTCAGGATGCGCTGGCCCCTGGAGCCACCCGCCATTACTAATGCAGGGGCGCATGCAGCCGTGACCCATGCGCTCATAGATGGCTGAGAACCGGATCAAGCTGGAAGGCGGACGTGAGGTGCTCACTGAGAGCGGAGATGGGTGGGGGGGGGGTGAGGAGCCCACTGTCACAAATCAACTTTGGGAAGCAGAGGTGCACGCACACACGCAAGCACATACAAATACATACACACACAGACACGTACATACATGTACACACACAGCTCCTGTGTTCTTATCATTGTGAGGACTCCATTCATTTCTATGGGCATAACCCTAAGTATGACAACCTTAACCCCATACCCAGCCTAAACCTTAACCATAAGTATCCAAACAAAAATCAAGACTTTTGGCATTTTAAATTTTTTGATTGCCTTAACACATTTTTATTAAATTGAGGTTTATATTGTGGGGACCTGAAAAATATCACCATCAGATAAAACCTAAGGGCTCATTTATACTGATACTCCGCATTCACTACTCATAAGTGTACGCATCATGGCTGCCATGCACATGTTCTGCATTGATCATTTGTGCACCTTTTTTATCCTTGCTGTTTCAATCAGTCGTGAATCTCACGTTTGTGAGAAATTGATTTATTTTGAACTATTGTTTTCTTTATAAATACTGCAATATTTATTGCAGAAATTGTTTTTCCCCCAGTATCATGCAGCCTAGTCGCAAAATATTAACTTCTATGAGATATCTAACATGCAACACAACTTTCAATTTTCAGAGGTGGAGATTTCAGGTCCAGAGAGTACAAATCCAGCCCAGGATTTTGTTTCAACCAACCAGTTGCGTATAAAGAGTCAGTCACAGAGTACTCAACTGGTTGGTTGAAACAAAATCCTGGGCTGGATTTGTACTCTCTGGACCTGAAATCTCCACCTCTGAAAATTAGCAGCTTGCTGTGGAGGCAGCAGTTGTGCAACATTTCATGCCACAACCACATACAAACAAGTGAGACCGGAAACAAAGGAGCCTACTGAGATGATTCTCTCACACTGCCGCCTGGTGAACCTGACCTTTAATTCTCCAGATAGACAAAAAATTATGCGCCCAAGTAGAGTCAGTACACTGCTTGCGTTGAATATGCATCGTGTGAAGTATATCCCAGTCCCAAGAGGATTTACTACAATATTGGAAAATCTGAACCCACAATGTAGTGCATACAAACTGCGCACACCCACACTCATGCCTGCATACACACACGCCCACCACCCTCACACAGCTTGTTTATTATGGCCAGAGAAACAGGCATTTACACTGGACACCATCATGGGCTGAGAACCAGAGGGCCAGGAAAGGGCCCTGCACATCAGCAAGTAAACATGGGGGGCTAATGATGGCTCCACCTGTGCCCCTGAGCCTTTGGTAAAACCCATCTTTAGCTTCTCTTTCCACCACTCCCTCGTGGGTCCTGTATCCATGCCAGGGGATCCCAGTTCACCTGAGCCGGTTGGTGTAGGTGTCCACGCACGTCTTCATCTTGGCCAGCAGCATGCCCACAGAGGTCTGGCCTTCGGAGTGCTCATCCCCCTCCCCTTCCTCTTCCTCCTCGGCCCGCTCAGCCGAGTCGCCCGTCAGCGGCAGCAGCAGAGGCACCAGTGCCGTGCTGGTGGAGATAGCCCTGAGCAGCTCTAATAGGGCGCGGTACAGTGGCACATGCCGCGCCATGTCGAGCACTGCAGACGGGAAGGGGACAAAGAGCAGCCAATCAGAACACAACGGCTCACAGCACTGTCATTCAATCAACTCTTCACTGGCAGAAGTGGGCCCAAAAAGCGATGGTGAGTGACAGTGACTGTCTCATTCTCATTGCGGTAAAGAGGGCCATGCACTGGAAGAGGCTAAACCCAGCAGAGAGACGGGAGGAGGTGAGATGAACAGGAAGGTGTTGGCAGGTGAGTGACGAGCCACCGGGTGGCTGTTAGAGAGCAGGGGCCTGTAGTTGCTACGACAGCCTAGCAAAACCCTTTTAAACAGTGCACCTAGCAAGCTGACAGGATCAGGGGAGTATCTGAATGCCAAAATACATCCCCCCACTCAGCAGGACCCTTCTAACCCCCACCCCAAAGGGAACCTCCAAGGTCACCATCCCCATCACATCCCCTGATAATTATGTTACATCATAGGGGACAGGGGTCAGAGTGTAACGAACAGAGAGGCCCAGCAACAGCACCCCAGATGGCGAGATAAGCAGGTCATTGCTCAAGACCTACAGTCATCTCAGTCCACGAGCCGCTAAGTCCGTCTGTCATCATGATCCTGCCGAGAACTGGCCCGTTGCACTGACCCGGAGTATGCTCAGCCTGTTCACGGCGCCCGGAAACCTCATTTTATGTCTTTCCGCCATAAGCAGTGCCACAAACGCAAAAAATCCTAATCAGGCTCGGCCCAGGACAGTATGCACGGTGGGGGCAGCCCCATCTACCCCACAGGGAATGGCGTTGGTGCATTCACGCGTGCATGGAGCAGCCAGTGACTCACTATCATGCTCCAGGGGCCTGACTCACCTTAACACCATCATCTTCTGAGTACAGTGACGCATGGCAACACAACGTGATGGGGAAGCAAGAGCGGCTTGTCACAGAGGGGGCCAAGGACTAGTGGGCGACGACAGAGGGAGGCCACACAGAATCGTAAACATGTCGTGGGGGGGGGGGGCAGGTGCAGCAATAGATGCAGCTTGTTACCGGGTAGAAGTGGCATCACCATTGACAGACCAGCGAGAACAGAATAATAGAGTGGGGGGGGGTTGCTGGAATGAGGCCTCAGAGGTGTCAATAGGGACCTGAAAAAGAACCAGCCTGTAACATCGGCGAAAGACCACTGCTCCACTCAAAGGCAGCCTGGGACAGAGTTCTGGAGTCTCCGTAATGGCAGTTGTGTGACAGGGGGAAGGTCCACCAGACCCAAGCACACCAGGTCGTTCTTCAAGCCTGAAGATAGCGCTCCTGATAGGCTGGCAGAGTGTGACATGGACAGAAGTAGCCAGACAGAGCTGCCTTGATATATGCAGGTAAACTCTTTTTCACTCTTACTCTCACACACGTAATATTAAAACATCTGGAAAACTCTAGTCCCAACATGACGACCTTAACCTTAACCATAAGGTTATAACCAAACAAAATACGAGACTTTTTCAGTTTTTTTGAAAAATTGTCCCTACAACATCAAAATAAGAGGTTTTCATCACATTCTGGGGAACATTTGGTCCCAACGATGTAATGTAAACCTAATACACACACACACACACACACACACACACACACACACACACACACACACACATATATATATCCTGGAAGCAGCTCCAGTCATAAAGCCCCAAGCAAATATCAGCCAGGTATCCTTGCTGCAGACAAATGGCACCTCCAGCAGACAAAGCCACACGTTCAGCACTCAGGATCCAGCCGTGTATGAAGCATCCACAGGCAGGCCGGCCGAATCGTTAGCGATATCCAGCTCATCTCGGTGTCGCCTTAAAATCTCAAAAAACTCAATCCAAGAATAGGCAACAACTAATGGGCCATTAAATAGGAAATATTGAGCACCACCAATTTTCTATTCCATGTCATTTAACTCACACAGCATGAAGAAATTGGATGAGGATCCTGAGCAAGGCCTGGCACAATATCACCACTCACCAGCAGGTGGACGTGGAAGTCCTTCAGGGCACATAGCCCAAAGTGTACCATCACCCCAGCATGACGAGGCAGGCTGGAAGACACCTGCTTTTATGTAACTGTTACAAGCTGCCTGGCTTCAAAACCATACGAGTTCCTTTTCACTTTCATTTAATTAAGGCGGGTGTGCAGGTGGTTTCTGGAGCTGGACGGCAAGGAGTGATAGTACTGTCCCCACCATCACATCAATGTGGGCTGGTGACCCAGACAGCCAATAACAAAGGTCCTATCTGTCCAATCACCATGCCCTCCACACACAGAGCACATACACATAACAAATCACACAAAGCAAATAAAGTGAATCCAGCAGAAGCACATTTCTCCTAGACAAGCTTGGCCAGTGAACAGCCAGTGCATGCGGTCAGATTAGTGCACTCCTGACGGGAGCACGGCATGCGGCATGCAGCTAAATCCCACCCCCAGTATTCCTGGCTAGTGTTGGGCAGGAGGCAGACTGAGCCCCCTACTCCCCTTCCCAGGAGGAGGGCCAGTAGATTAGTCTGCTCGAGCCTGTGAAGTGGTGGCTGCATAATTCATGACAGCGCCTCCTCCCTGAGGTCTCACTGCGCTTGGGGGAAGGCCCACCGACTGGCGACCTCACACGTTAACAGATGCTGAGAGCTACGACATTACTGCCCCAGGCGAACGATTTGGGCTGGGGAGGGGGACTGTGCTTGTCAATTAAGGAGAAGGAGAGGTGTCCCGAAGGCCCTGAGAGCTCCTCCCTCAGTCTCCCGATGGAGGGCGAGGATGTCCCGACAGGCCTAAGAGCCACTTCCCTCAGTCACCCACTAGGGAGCAAGGGTATCCCAACAGGCCTGAGAGCCGCTCCCTCCGTCTCCCGCTAGGGGGGTGAGGATGTCCCGACAGGCCTAAGAGCCACTTCCTCAGTCACCCACTAGAGGGTAAGGGCATCCCAACAGGCCTAAGAGCCACTTCCTCAGTCACCCACTAGGGGGCGAGGACATCCCAACGGGCCCAAGAGCCGCTCCCTCAGTCACCCAACTAGGGGGCGAGGACATCCCAATGGGCCCAAGAGCCACTCCCTCAGTCACCCACTAGGGGGGCAAGGGCATCCCAAGAGGCCTGAGAGCTCCTCCCTCAGTCTCTCGATAGAGGGCGAGGATGTCCCAACGGGCCTAAGATAGACCTGTGACTCACTACCAGGCAGCCTCCATAGACCTTCAAATGAATAATAGAATTAACTGATTCAGCCGACCCAAGCTCTATTAAAGATGACCTCCTGTTCCTCCTAACAAGCACGACCTCTAATCACCCCCCTCAGTGAAAAATGATCCCATACTAGTGTTAAGATGTCTTTGTGTTCGTTTAGCCCAAGTGCTGAAACTCCAAGGAGCCTTAACATTTCCAAGTGAAAAATGAAGCCACGTAGCAGGGAACGTGCGATGTGTGCCAGGGGAAGGGAGCTCGCCCTTTTCAAAGGCCCGCCCCCCCAGCAGAGGGGGGCCAGGTACCAGACGCCTCATTAAAGCGGGCTGGTGTTTGGCATTTCGCAGCACAAGATGCTTTTTACACTATATAGGAAAGGGCACCTGTTGGGGGACCCTTACCCTCTTATCCCAATTGGACAAAAGAAATCCTGCCTGATCTGCCCATTTACCAGGCAGCCACGGCAACAGCAGCTATATAAATATGCCAATGTTTCAACACCAAACAATGCCTTTGAAAGCACATGTTTATAAGCAGTGATTTGGCCCAATGAAGGGTGAGGGCTCATGAAGACAATGGTGCGGAGGGATGGAAGTAGGGACAGGGGGGCAGACACCAGGTGCCTGCAAGCGGACCCGCAGAGCCCCAGATGTACACAAGCCAAGGGAAAAACACGGATATGGGCAGGCAGGTGGTTAGGATCCTGGGTGTGACTGACCAAAGGGAGGGCTCTGGCGGAGGTATGGGGAGATGGAGAGAACAGGAACCAGGAACAAAGCTGAATAATCTCAAGCAGGGCAGGTCATGGGGTAAATTCCAATAAACTGTCCCCCTCCCACACCCAAAAAGGCATGTGACTTTCTCCCTTTCAATACAGCTTCATGCTCATCACTCTGGGAGAAATTTGTCACTAACAGACAGTGTGAAGTTTTAACCATCACAACACCCC